AAAAAAAAAAAAAAGGTTAGAAACAAAGAGAATATCATGAACAATAAATTTAAAAAAAAAAACATTCCAATAATTTATTATCCAAAAACATGCGTCTTCATTGTACTTTATTCACCTATAAAAAAATATAGTTAGCACCTCACATAGACACATAAAACATACGTTTAGCAGAGCGTGGTTTCGATCCACGGACTTCTGGGTTATGGGCCCAGCACGCTTCCACTGCGCCACTCTGCTAATAATGAATGTATTAATGAATAATTAGCTTACTTTAGTTATATAGATAACTATACATAAATAAACTATTTATTTTTGTAATACATATCCGATGAATAAACATATTATTTTAATATTCAAATGAATTCATATTCTGTGAATTATCATAGAGTAGGTACCTACCTACTGATTATTAAGTAACCAAATTTTTGTTACACTGTTGACTATTTCTCATTTTTTATTATGTTTATTACATAATTTATTTGCTATCGGTACAGATACCACCATTGGATTGCAAAGAAAATGACAATAATTAAGCATTTATATAACTTTACATATTACATAATATTTATAACTCAAGCGGTGATTATAATGTCTTAAAAAAAAACCAGAAAAATGCTTCAAAATAAAATACTTTTATGCTTTAAATATTCTACATAATGCACAAAAAATGCGCTATTTATTTTTTTGTTATTTTTATTTTGGTATAAATTTTAAAAAGTCTTACACACAGAAGTGATTGTTTTAGACTTCTTTAATGTGAAATGACAAATTATTTCCATAAATTTTTTAATTGATTTTATAGGTTTAGATTATGTATATTTATTTATGTGTAGGTACATTCTAAACTATAATATTATATTACGAATATCTGCTTGATATTTTTAATTAAAAATATATTGTTATTTAGGGTTCGACGTTCGACATTTTCATTATTATTATCCGATAATAATATGATATAAAAACCTATACTATATAGGTTCAAACTTATAATTTTATTTATAATAATAAAACATATCATGAGAGCATATAAAAATCTTGAAACAAATTTTTTTATTTTAATTCATAAATATATGAAACTTTTAACTTATCTATATAATACCTATGTAATAAAACAATTCTGACTTCTGTTTAACGTTGTCAAATATATAGCTAGTAGTTTAAAGATCCAAAATTTGAGTTTAATAATAATTATTGATTACCTATTGTTTGAAAATTTTGAAAACAATACAATCGTATAGTAGGTACTATCAAAATAAATATTCAGAAAGGCTAATGAAATATTTAATGTTTGTTGCTTTCTTGTCATGATAACTTAAAATTATTTAATTTTACTTAGATATGCCATAACCATTTACAAATTATAATTATTTTTACCATAAGAATTGTACGTAAAATATAATACCTACTTATTTGTATTTTAATATATTATTTATTTTGTATTCATTAACTAATATTCCAAATGTTGGTTCTGTATAGTCTATATTATTACATGATAAATGTTTTATACGCATTTATTGTACGCTATGAAAATATAAAATATGTGTTATTCTGTGGTAGCAACCACTAATTGAATGTTATTGATGATCATCGATCATTAATTTATATTAATCAATACGAAAGAAAAGAAAATATGTAAGATTTTAGAATAAAAAATACATAAAAATTTTTTGTTTAGCAGAGCGTGGTTTCGATCCACGGACCTCTGGGTTATGGGCCCAGCACGCTTCCACTGCGCCACTCTGCTAGATGTTTTAAATCTGTAGTACAGTGTTATATTTAGGTATGTATTTTATGAGATATTTACTTTTATTTTTTAAATGAAAAATTGTGTATAATGTTACAGAATTTTTCTTAGATTATTAAATAATGTGTTATACATTTTAATGTATAAAGACAAAAGTAGTAATAGCTATATAGGATACCTACGTAGGTGTACCCGAATAAATATTTTATGCATAAAATATAGGTAGTACCTACCTAATTAATAAAACGTATAACTATAAGTAGATATAAATTATTATAATATTTTATTATATTTTACATAACTAATGTAATTTTTATTTAATTTATCAAACATTTGTCATAAATAAAAATCCTTTTATAGTTAGGTACACTAAATAAATATAATATATTATAGGTCGTATCGGCGTAATTTTTTCATACTGACCATAAATCTTGTGTGGAAAATGGAAATTATTCATTTTTCAAGACAACCAATTTAAAAAGTTTATCGAATCATAATAATATTGGAGTTTAATTTTTAAATACACAAATACAAATACTCTGTGAAGTCTAAATAATGTCATTGTTTTAGCCTTTAGGTACCTTATAGATATCTACTGGCTATTTCTAAGTTTTAGATATTTTTGTGTTTAAATTTCTTAATGGTGTGTAGAAAATTTTTTTTGATTTGAGGCCCAAAAATGTTCTGGCCTCCGACTCAATTTACGATTAAATCAGTAGGTAATTATTTTGGTTTTTTTCTTGTGTAAAACTTATCTATATTTATTTGTAAGTATAATTTTAAGTTTATAACTATTATACAAAACAATTATATAGATATATTAACAGTAAATTATTTGGTAAATATATAAATACGTAAGTATTATTTTATAAGTAAGTTGTACTTACTACTTTACCTTAGTTTGCAATACAATTATATTATGCCTAATGCAATTATTAATTACCTGTTAGTATAAATGTGTGCTATTAGGTAAAAGTAATTTATATTGGCAATTTCACGTTATAATTACATTATATTATTATTTTGAAAATCAATCATGTAACTTGAACTATTAATTAGGTTATGTCAATAAATAATTATTGTATAAAAAAATTACAAAAAGTTTGTCAGAAGTGGGATTCGAACCCACGCCCTCAGATGAGGACCAGAACGCTCAACTATCCATCGCAATGACAGATAAGGGACAACCTTGAGTCTGGCGCCTTAGACCGCTCGGCCATCCTGACTTGATGCAGACGATCGTTTTTTGTAGGTTATTTAAGCATAATATATATATTTACTTTTTTAACTAACATAAATTATTAAATTTTTATCATGAATATTGGTTTTACAATTAATAATTAAAATTTTATATAATACTTCAAATGAAAATTTTAACTTCAAATAGAGTAGCTTAAATATGTATTAGGTATTTCTTTTAGTAAATTTGTTGTAAAGTTATTATTGCTTATTTCTATAACTTGAATTGATTTCAAAATTAATTATATACTATAGGTACAGTCACATAGGTATTATTTTTAGATTCTTTAGTTTCTTAATATTGTAGCCTTTATGTATATTAATTATTAATTAATGTTTAATGTGAATCTTCCTAATACCAGTAATACTGTAATAGTAGTGATATCTACGTATATTATTATAAAAATAATGGAATATAAAATAAATGATAGATCTAAAAACTTGTTATAGAATTATTTAATTAATTTTGGAAAAATGTATACTATAAAATTTAAAAAATATTATAGATTTATAATGGATAAATATTTTTTTTCAACCTAAGTGATTTAATAATAATAATAATAATAATAAAATGTAAGCCATTAAGAATAACATTTTAAATTCATTTTAAATACGTTTTATTAAATTTGTATCTATAATATATAGACAATTTAATATTATAGATATTTCGATAAAATAAATTAAAAATAAAACTAAAAATAATTTGTGCCTATAAATATTATAATTTTTCAGTTACAAAAGGTCGTATGTTTACTTTCATCCGAAACCATTAATTTGTTATTTTTTTATAGTTTATATATTAAAAATTTCTTGTACAAAAATTCTTAAGTTTCAAAATTTAAAACATCCTATTTAATTTTTAATTTATAGATGAAATATAGTTACAAAACAGTGTAAGTCCATTGGAAGTTATGTATCTAAAAGTAAACAAAATATGTAGTATGCTATAGGTAAAATAGTACAGTTATAAAATACAGAGTAAATCTCTAGGACCTGTTTAAAACATACCTATTTATAGTAACACTTTAAGTACAATTTATAAATATATTATACAATTTATTAGATAGGTATATAATTATTTATTACCATGATGAATTTATGAGGGAATTTAATATTAATAAAGGTCTTACTTTCTACATTTAATTGTATTTAAGATTCTGTAGAAGAGGATCTGGTGATAAATGATAAACTTTCAGTAGATATATTACAAGTTGCTGATACTGATTTATGTTTAAATAAAATATCTCATCTTGCTCATACATTTAAACGTAAGTCATACTTTATTATTTTATTATTGTTCTATAATTTTTAAAACATAAAATGCTATTGTTTTTAGTCAATAATATTGTAACTTAATTTTACAGAATATTATGATTATTTAAAGACATCTTTGACTAATATCAAATTTTATATTAAAAATTTAGTATATACAGTGAATGAAATAAAAATTACCATGGTGGAACATGCTGTCAATGTTTTGAACGTCTCTGATTCACTAAGTAATCAAGACAATCATAACTGTACAAATTTATTAAACTCTGAAAATGTTCCTATCAGAAATGAGCAAATTCTTGAAAATGTTGAAACTCAACTTGAAAATGCTACAATACGGTTCCAAGTAGTAAGTGTGCCAAAAACAGTTTTGATTTTTACTCTAAATATCTTATTATTTTTCACATTATTTATTAATTGTTCTTTGGTGTTAATAGACCATTAAACTATCCAGATTAATAGGTAGGTAGATCAATATCAGATTCAGTACGCCGTATGATGCAAAAATTGTTTGATGATATGTGGCTAAAGTATTATTCTTATATTGGACATAAAGGAAAAAATAAATTGACATCTTTCAGTTCTTGTAAAATTATTTTTGGTAAGAACCGCATATATTTAAAATTAATTATATAATATGTATTAAAAATGTTTAATGCATAATTCCTATAGAAGCAATTCATCTATGCTCAAAGTTTGAAAAAGTACCAGATATAGAAATTGCGTTGTAAGTTAGCAAGTAAATGACACAACTGCGCTAGCAAGCAATCGCTTAAAAAAGAAATGTACCAATACAGAAAGCACTTCTGCATTTTAATATTTTTCAATTTATCCTATTTATTTTTTCATTTAATTCTTAAACTCAATTACTCAAGTTATGAGTTGTAAAAATTAATAAGTTTTTATTTTATTTTAATTATAAAGATATTTATATAGGTATTTATAAATATTATATGAATGTGCATATTAATATTGTATATTATATTATTATGCATATTATGTATATCTTATAGTTTTATTCTTTTAAAAGATATTTTTTGGTTTTAAATTATAAGCTTATAAGTTTTTTGTTTTGTTTTATTTTATTTAAATTATAAAATAATTTATATTTATTATTTATATGAATAAATTTAACTAATAAAAGATCAGTATACAATATTAACAATATTATATTATTTTATGTTCATGTTTTTGAAACACACATTACTCTTTTTATAATAAAATGTTTCTATTAATATAAGTAAAGTTGTATTATTGTATGCACATGTCATAAAGTACCTAGGTAAGTATAGTATTACAACTATAACTATTATTGTGTAAAATGTATTTTGATGATTAGATTTTAACCCAATATTAGGTAATAATATATTAAGTGACAAATTATATAGCCACATTAATTTTTGTAAAAAAAGTAGGCATCTGCCTATCTATGCAACATTAAAAAAAAAAATTTATCAAATATTTAAAGGCAATCTTTTCAAAATATTGATAAACCTAAATAAAACAACATTTCAAAAAGTTATTGCTGCAATATGGAATTTTCTGCCACAAATCATTGTGACAATGTTGTGACAATATTTTTAATACCTTAATTACACAAAAAAAAAACAAATTGAAGCAATATTTTCATGTTTTTAATGAATTTTGTAAAAATATGTGTAGGTAACACATTTAATTGCTTGCTATGTGGGTAAGTATTTTAAGAAAATAATTTAGATAATAATAATAAATTAAATAATTTATTTTTTCAAAACAAAAAAAAAAAGAATTTGATAGTTTTTAAGGCATTTAAATCTAAGCTTTAAATATCATTATAAGTATATAAATTGATTAACTTTAATATTAGAGATTTGATTTTCTAGTAAGGGTATTTTTTATTTTCTGCAATTCGTGAATACTGAATAGTATACCTAGTATTTTGTTAACTTATTTTCAATTGATGAGATATATATCTACAGGTCATTAAAGAGTAAAATGATCATCATCGATGTGAAACAACAAGAACAAGAACACACTTAGGTAGGTGCTAATACAATATTGATGAATACAAAAAATTTTATATTATCGTAGGTACCTTTAGCGAACAGTTATAGGTGTAAGGACACTGAATGTCATCTGCAAGACAAAATCGAAAAAATAAACAAAAACAGAATGCCATTGGCAAAGCGCCATTCTGAATTCTTTGTGCAGCTAAACTGTCAAGATTTCAAAGAATAAATTAATCGGAGAACACTTTATTTGTATGCCAACTACTACAGTGACAACACATTTTATTAGTTGCATGTGTGGAGTAATTTAGTTCAATCCATTTAAGGACCGTATTCTATTTGCGGTACATAGATTTTAGGGATTCCATTATTAACAACAATTTATTAGGTCTTTCATATAATATTAATAAATATACAATATTATATTATATAATATTATATTATAATATAAACGCTTGTATGATTAATATTATTTTTTTAAAGTTTCGTATTTTAATAATTTTATACTACGGTTATATTATTAATTTAATATATATGAGTAATAATTGGCATTAATATCTAACAAGAGAAGATATTTTCTTAACAATTAAATTGTTTAAATTAAATTTAATATGCTTTAATGATTTATTATCAACCGTGTGTATCTTTAAATGATTGTATAAATCAGTTTAAGTTTCGTAATATTGTAATTTTTATATTGTATAGGTGATACAATACATATATTGTATTTCAATAATAATAATTAATACATTTTTAAAGTAGATCGTGTTAGGTATTCTTTTAGCAATTATCTTTAAATACTTGAACAAAATAAAATAGGTGCATTAAAATGCATAGGTACATATGCGAAAAAAATGAGTAGTATCAAGGAATTTTTAATGAATTCAAAAAAAATATTAAATAATCATTACAAATAAATAATAATAAATATGTTAAGTCTTAAAATAATAATTTATTTTAATTAACATTTTATTTTTAGAGAGGTAGTACTCGTAAAAATTATATAAAAGTTTAATACGAAGTTACACTTCTTTTAGGCCTTGAATAAGATGAATCTAGTTCTTATGGCATTAAAAATATAAATAGATATATTAAATACAAAGTAAACAAAAAAACTAGAAAACATTATTCTTATCTAAAGTAACTGTTAGTATAAGGTATTTTTATTTAAAATGTAAAATATATGATCGTTCTAAAAAAATAATTTTGAGTACACAACTTTGCATAACGACTTTAACCAGTGTACTATAATTTGTATTTATAATAAGTTTCAAAAAATGTAAATCCTCTTAAAACGCATAAATGATATTTTTGAGTATTAAACAGTTTTATTAATAACTCATAAGACAATAATTTAAGTATTTATTTATTAATACTTGTATTGAGGGCTGTAGTCTATAATTTAATTTAAATTATGGTTTAAGAATAACAATAAGTTATAATACAATTACATATTTTCATGGATGTATAAACAATAAAAGCTAGTGATTATATGAAGTTAATGCATACCAGTTAACAGGTACATTTTAAATGATAGAAGACTTCATAATTATTTATAGGATTATCATGAAAGACATGAAACTATGAATAAATTTTAACTTATTATTTTATAATAAATTTTTATAGATTTGGCATAACAACAAATAAGAATCTAGTGAATAGTGATCGAACTAGATCATATTATAGTCGGCACTATAGACAAGAGATCCAAGTTTTTATAATATTAACGAATGTTTTTTTAACATATTTATAAAAAATGAATTCTCATGCCAATTCAATAATATATTTTAACAGTTAAATTGAGACAAAAGGACAAATAAAAATAGTCTTATCATTTAACGGATAAAAAACATTTTTTCAAAACAAACCTTGACCAGAATAATATGTGAAAATATTTATGAAAGAAATACTTTTTCATCAACCCACAAGTTTTTTGACATTTTTTTTTAGTAATAAGCAAGTGAAACAATATAAAACATTAGTTTATGTATACTATAACATGTGTATACAAGACCTTCATGACTTTATAATGGATTATTTATTAATAAATTAAAAATAAAAACCTGCTAACAAATCACAGACACAATTCCAAGTGGTTTAATAGAGGCACCAGACAAGTGACCAATACACATACATATATAAATTATGTATACGTTTCTAATTTTGCTCATTTAAATTAATAATAATTTACGTTCTAATAGAATGTTTGCCAAAATGTGTAAAAATTATTTTGGATTATCTTTGACCAGTATAACAGTAGTTAGTAATACTACTCAGTAAATATTATTAATGCACATTGTGTTTACCTAAATAAAACCAAACAAATTTAAATTTAATCATTGCATTTATAGAAGATAATTGTTCCAATTATTTTTGTTATTCACTTTATATAATATAATTGTAATGTATGCATTTTATTTTAAAAAATCAACTACTAAACCTTTATTAAAACTATGTTTATAAATTATTCACTAAAGTTAAATTTTATATGTGATATATATATATATTCTTGTTAAATTGTATTAAAAAATGTTGATAAATATATTTTTATTTTTTACTTTTAAATTATTAATTTATGAAAAGATTGCAATAATATTTTAGTTAACATTGTTTTGTATAATACCTATTGGTTTTTCATTATTATATTATCTATTTCATTTTATACTTTGTTTTAAATATTTACCTATTTACTCAGAGGAGTATGTGGCCTCTAGATCCTGATGTGGTGAATTGCAGTTCTGTAGTTTGCTCTGTTGACTGTTTAATGATAAAAATAATTGTTAATTGTTTTAATGTAATTAATTTTGGTAATGGTAAATGTAATCTAATATAAGGTTAAGGAGAAAATAAAATTACTACGAGTTTTAGTTTATCAGATAAGAACTTTAACTCTGATGAGAATTTTGTTAAAATTTTAACTTTAATTACTAGTAAAAATTGTTTTGGAGAATGTATAATTTTTTTTTTTGATTTCACTAATAACAACTTATGAAGAATCTTGTATTACATTTTTAAGTTTTGTAACTGAGCAAAATCTTTATAGTTTTTCAAACTTAAAACCATAATATAATAAATCTTTGAATTGGTTCATACCAATTATACAAGTTTAAAATAATTTGAAGAATAGTATGGGGGTAATGATTTTATATCCAGGATTAAAACATTTTTATTTTCTTTCATAAGTCTAGTTACGTACTCTTGTTTTTTTTATTAAAGATTCAAGGATCTATAATTCCCCTGATTTTTTTGTTAGTCATCACTAGGGAACAGATTCATATGTAAATTTATATTTTTATCAAAACAAGATATTTAAGAATCGATAAGAAATGTTTAAAATTTAAATCATTCTTATTAAAATGATGCTAGTTTTATTTTATATATTTTGGTATAATTACATATTTTTACATATTTCACTAAATTGTAAATATTTTTAAAAATATTTTATTATAGTGAAATTAAACAGCTATTTATAGGTATATTGTCGAAAAAAAAAATCCAGGCTATATTGATTTTAAAATAATTAATGACATAATGAGTGGCATACACCCTTCTAAAAATTTGAATTATCGCCTTCAGATATTATGTACTTCAAATATGCTCCAATTACATTGGTTGATGTGAAACGATTATTTAGCCATTTTAAAAATATTTTGAGACCTAATAGGTGACATTTAATATTTAATAATTTTATTTAATGTATTTTTTTTAGTTAATTTTTTCCCCGTATAAATATTTTAATATTTTTAGCACATATTTAATAAATTATACCTCCATATTTATATACCTATTACTGTGTTTTTATTACATATAAATCTGTTCCCTAGTCATCACATTGACATAATTGTTTGTAGAGCACTTAAAGTTTTTCATTTTATCAATCTTATGAATTGGTCTTCAATTTAAATTCCTATTTAAGTAATCTCTCTCATTTGATCATATTCATGATTTTTTTTGTAGTCTTATTGTTATGATATTTGCGTGATATATTAATGCATTACACTTTATTGATACTGTATTTAACTAATTTCAAACTGTTTATTGTCTTCTTGTCATTTAATTTAAAAATAAATAAATATATTTTGATAAGTTAAAATATTTAATTTTAGGCATCAGTCTCTATTTCAATCAATCATAATTATATAGGTCTCTAAGTATGGTTTCATGTTATTAATAATTTTATCCATTATTTCATCGACCTCCCAAAAGTAATCCTCTTCTTTGATAAAAAATTAACATTGAATGAAATTAGATCAATGTTATGGTGTTATATGTGTACTTAACTCATTTAGAAGATTTCTGACATCAGGTATTTTGTATGTTGTATTGTTCTGTGTAACTAACTGCTTAACTGTTGGTCAGACCAATTCAATGGGATTAAATTCATAGTGGAACAGAGGTAAACGTCATATGTTATGACCTGCATTCTGAGCAATGGAATCAATGAAAAATGTGCTAAATTTTGATTTAATTTGCCTTACATGTTCTAACAGCATGAGTTTCGGTATTGACCTATCAAATGTTTCCCCATTTGATTGAAACCAGTCAACAATGTCTTGCTTCTTCTGTGTGGATGAAGGAGGTTCTTCTAACTTATTAGAATTGTAAGGCACAGTGTCCATTACAATGACTGAGTTTCTTTCATGTTTTGGTAAAATGCGTTTAAACCAATTGTTGAAGTTGTCACTGTTCGTTACATGATATTTCTTTGTGTTTTTACTGGATTCAAAATACAGTAAGCCACCAGAAAAGAAACCTTTATCTGAGTCAGTGTGAAGCACAGTCAAACCTTTTCTTTTAGAATTAACTGCACCTGTTGAAATGTTTTTGTAAAATGCATCATACTATGATTTAATAATTCAATTCAAATTTTATTGTCTCATTATAATACATTATTTATTATTTATGATAGATTATATTATGTTATATGTATTAATACAATAAATATGTTTATTTAAAACGGCGCTTTGTATATGCAATCTTAATACAATTTGCATGTTTGAGTTATTTTCAAGGAATTTTACTGTACTTATATAAACATCGTGTTTTATTTAGTTCTCAATATAAAAATATTAAAAGATTGTGAGTAATAAAAAATAAAAAAGAAGTAGCAGATAATATGAATATCATAAATATTTGAATTGTTTAAATATATGGTAATAATAATTATCTCGGATATTTAATAAAGAAATTCAAAATATGATTATTAAAACCCAACTTGTGATTAAATAGATACAATTTAAAAAAAATTTCATTGAATAATTAAAATATTGTCTTCTATACATTTTCTTAGAAATATTAGTAAATAGTTTATATACGTGAATGTTCAAATTATGAGAAAAGTTTTAAACAGACCATAGTACCTATATACTTTTTATTTTTTCATAAAATACATTCAGATCTGCAGTTATACATATTATATAAATGATGCGAAAAAAATCTTATTAATTTCATAAAATTGATAATAATGACTATTAAGGTATATATTATGTAATGTATATGCATCCTATTGAGATAAAAATACCATTGTATGAACAATTTTACGAATCTTTAAAATTGTTTTCTTTTAGAATTTTAATTTATGTGTTTTCCAACGAAAATAAAACGTTACTTTTTAAGATTATTAACTCCACATTTTTGTTCTAAACTTTGAGTATAAAAGTAAAGAAATTGAGTTTTAGAAAAATTGAATTAGATTTTTAATGCATTATACTACACTAGGTGATTTAAGATTTTTAACTCAAATACTAATTATTATCTTGAAAGTTATAAACGCGTTACTGAAATATATTTTTGTTATTGATAATGAATACTTATTTCAAAATATTTTGTTTTTATTTTTTTGCTATTTTTTATCGTTAAAGAATATTTATTGGAAATTATTGGAAATTTCAAAGTGTAAAATTCTATTTTTCATTTTTTTTTTTTTTTGGGGTGATCCTGAATTTTTTATAGGGGCTTCAGAATTTGAAAAAGTGATTTTTGTTGGGTCTTTCAGAATAACGTGTTGACCGATGGTACGCTGGACGCAAAATTAATTCACTCGTAATAAAAATTAAAACGGTATATTCAATGATAAAAAAAACCAAAAGAACGCATTATGTACATAATATATATCTGGAGTTTCAACCGAGGCGAGATAACATAAATAATAAAATATTAAAATTTATATTTTTGTAGGAAAAAAGGATTGACGCGCACACGCGCGTATAGGATATAGTGTATAGAACTATATAGAGTGTAGACGGCTGACGTCTGATGGACACAAGACGGTGACTATTTTTAACTATCGCAGGATGTGAACGATTAGCGCTGGAGGTTAATATTTCGATAAAACATTAATTGAGGTTTTCCCACTGTATCAAATAATATTTATAAATAGGGCTGGGAATGTAATGCCCTATAAAGCTCTTAAAAATGCTTTAATACCCTAAAAATTCTAAGTAATGCACAAAAAATGCAGTAAAATTGTTTTTATTTTTAATAAATTTAGTATACATTTAAAATAATATTTGATTAAATTTTTAATTTCCCTATAGGCAAAACTTCAACTTGGATTTCTTTTAATCAGAAAAAAACAATTATTTCCTTATATTAGTTATATATTTTTTAAATTATTTTGATAGATTATTTTTTAATATTTTAAATTATCCCATAGGTAGCAAGAAAACTAAAAAAAATAAATATTTTTATTATGTATTTTTTTAATATTATTGAAAATATGATATAACATTTATCGGTGAAACCCGAAAGCGCAAATCGACCTTTTTTTTCGATAACCCAAAAGCGCAAAATTAATTTGCGCTTTTGTACCTTGGTAGTGGGATAAAAGCGCAAAAATAAATTGTATTACTAGATACAATATTTTACTAACCTAACGCGCGACGCGCGACGCTCGACGCTTTCCATATATTTACGCGTGGCCTTATGGCTTATACCCGTTCCACGACAGATTGAAGCAACGCATCGCGACAATTATTACATTTGGCAGTATCTTATCGTAACACATTACGATGACAGTTGATAATCATTTAAGATAACTATAATATACAATATAATATAATGGTGTATACAGTATAAGTTACATTAAATAGGATTTTTGATAACTATATAGCTTTGCAACTACATAGGTACCTATATAGATATTATGTTCTATATGACTTATTGAGACGTTTTATTTTTAATTGTAATTCGAGTGTTTTAAATCGTATATACCAGATATTCACCTATATCAGTAGGTGCCTATGCTACCATCGTGTTACGTGTGCGTATATTTGTTTAACCAATTTAAAAAATATTCAAAATTGTATTTTTTATATTTTACTGATTTTAATATCACAGTTAATGCTTATATAAATATTAATAATAACTACGATTTTAATTAAATACACTTTTTTTAAAAAATTGATTTGCGCTTATGGGTTATTAAAAAGGTATTATTTTTTTTTGCGCTTATGGGATATTTATTTTTGCGCTTTTGGGTTGCGTTTGGGTCATATTTTGCGCTTATGGGCTACAGCCAACATTTATGGACCCTTCAAATGAAGCCGCAGAGATGCAGACTAAGCAATCGTTGCATACCTTGCACTAACCCGTACTCACACCTATGGAATAATGTATTATTATATATAGGTATTATGTTTTCAGTTTTGACTATATTATTATACATTATATATATATGTATATATATATATATATATATATAGGTTGAAATAATTTGAAATCAAATATTTCCAAAACATAGGATGGGATATTGGTGTATAATATTTGGTATATAACAATTTTAAAATGTTTTGTTTATATTTGGGTTTAAATATTTTCAAAATAACTGTATAATATTTTAAAATAAATATTTGCAGTATAGCCTAATTTAAATATTATGAAAATATTAATATTTTCAAATTTCTGTGTGGATAGTGAAGTAATATAGTTAAAACTGTTAATTAAATATCATTATTATAGTATTAAAAGATATTAAACAAATAATATAAATAAATACATTAGACATACCTACTTATATACCTACATTGGCTACATTTTATTATTATGTACTTTCTTACATACAAATACTGCACTGCACCTTTAGCGTAAAATTACTGTCACGGTTGACTAGAGCCAAATAAACCATCCCCTTGTTGGCCGCCAACCGATGTAGATTTATTATTTCACGGGAATACATTTCTGTCTGAGTGTATGCTATTATCGTTGTCACCGACAATCACACCGCTTTGGATTTGATCCAAAAGCATGATACAATTTTATACCTTTTTTTTGTTTTTTTAGTCGACACGTGCTTACACCAACGCTAACAGCAGCCATTATCTTTCAATGCAATGCCCGTAAACGCTCTTATACCATTTAAAGAAAAAAAGTATGACCAAAAATTTTCAATGTTCAAGGCCGAAATCGTTGATAAATAGTTTAAGAAATTAAGAGTTGACTGGAATAATATTTGTTTCTGTAGCGCTTCTATAGTCACTTAATTTGACTAAAACAGATAGTTATCGATATTAATACGACGATTTACTTATTACTATAAATAATATTATATTAACACTAGCTGAATTACCCGGCTTCGCCTATGTGTTGTTTGTGTTTTCTTAAAATGACGGTAATAACGAATAAAATTAAATTGTGAATAATAGATTACTCGTATGAGTATTTGGTATAATCATGTGAAAAAAAATTGGAAAAATGTTAAATAATGTTGTCACAAAACGGGGACATAAAAAAGTCCAATTAGTTTTATATAAAAAAAATGGATAAAAATACAATTACCTTTTCCGCTCCTCTCAGGAAAAAAAATAAAAAATCGAGCGACGTGGTAATACTCAGGAAGATATTTTAAACAACTCTGTAAAAAAAAAAAATTTGAAAAATGTTAAATAGTGTAGTCACAAAATAGGAACATAAAAAAAGTCTGTTCTTTTATATAGGTACCTATATAAGAATTATATTATTAACAATATTATTTAGGAAAATATTATATTTTACTTTGTTTTAATAAAGTACCTATTTAAATTAATGAAATAACAAAAATTAATTTTTAGTTTTTGTAATCTGTGAAAATGTCATTATTATAAAAATAATTTTAGCAATAATCTTTTGATAATGAAAAATAAATAAAATATTTTGTTTTTCAAAAAGTAAAACGTTTGACACTTTTTTTACGACTTCTTATGAGTTAATATCCGTGTTTAAGGGAGTATATATTTAAAATTTTATTTTATAATGACCTACTCTTAATCTTTTTGGTCACCATACAAAAATAAATGTAGTAAAATATAAGCGCACAATGAAAAAAAGCGTAATGCACTTTTATCATTGCTAAAGTACTTCAGATGCGCATTAAAACACCTACACATTTTAAATTATTTTTAAACATCTAGTAGATAGTACTAAAACTATACTTTTTTCAGGTTTTACGTTTGTTGTAGATAAAATCTATAAAAATAAATTTCAATTAAATTTTGTCAATTTTTGAAAAGTACTAAGTAGACCAACGCAGCTATATACAATTATTTACTAGTTTAAAAGTTTATTAATAAATACTTTATTCTAATATTTTATTACTTCACTCAAAAACCATAAAACACTAAATAAAACTAATTAACTCTGTCAGTTTCATGTAATTTATACTGATTTAAAAAACATTAAAAACGTTTGTGAATTTAAAAGTAATAATTATAATGTCAAAAACTGGAGCACTTAATAATTCAACATTTAAAATTTTGTGGTTAAAATACAAAATTAAAATAATAATTTGTTGTGTTAAGTAGTTAAATTTATAATTTTAATACCTTAAGCTTGAAAATTTAATACAAGATTCTTAATAAATTTTTCTTATTATAGAATTAATAAGAAAAAGGTTAGCGTAGGTACGCGACTAATTTTTAATATTTTTTTTTTATCCTCAAACAATTTTTGTTATTTTATTATAGAGAGATCATAAGATAATATCTTAAAATTATCATAGAAACTTAAAAAATATTATTTATTATATTAAAATATACATTAATATTTTCAACATATTTTGTTTTATTTAAATATTATGAATTGTTGTGCAAATTATGTGTTAATTGGATTAAAACATTTTCATTGGTTAGTGGATGGAGACATTTATGTCATACATTACATTTCTTAATAATAAAGCCTATATAGTAGACCAGCTACACTATTATTTTTTAGTTATTATATACATATTAGGTAGGTAATGTAAAAAACTTTTTACAAAAAAATAAAAAAATTAAAAAATATATTTAATTTTAACATTATGAAACTTTCCATGAGTATTAATAGTATGATGGACTCAATAAACTATACCATTTTTTAGGTTCTTGTTGATCCGGAATCAGTACAATTTGTATCTAATTTTATTGCTTAATATATAATGGCTGAAATTTAAACAAACGTAAAATTGGTATGCATATTGTATCTTAGAAAAATAAAAACAAAAATAAACATGTATGTGCAATGAAGTAAGTATTTTCATAGGTAGTTACTTGGTTTTTTATTTTATAGATTGTTACGACAAAACATTATAGAAATTACTAATTTAGATCATAAACTGTGTGTATGGTATTTTATAAGCAAAATTTATTAAGACACTCTTAATTCTTATTGAACATAAATTAATATTCTGTTTCTAATCTATACTTTAATTACAATTAAAATTCTATATTTATAAAAAATGATGTCAAGATTTACTAAATGAATAAATAAAAAATATAAAAATAAAAAAAAATAAAATAAAAAATTATTAATAAACAAATTGGAAGTGCCTTCACTGGATGGCTTCTTCCCTCACGTTTTCATGTCAAATAAAATATTATATCACATATTCTTATTGTGCCCAAGGGTACAGATTGTATATTTCTTGTTTAAAAATAAAAAAAAAAATAAAAAAATATTTATAAATTATAACGAATCTCGAAAAAAAGTATAATTGATAATTATAATATATGAATATATATAAAAATATTAACTATAAATAAATATGATGTACAAAAAACTATTAATTAGTATTTTTACTAAGATCAATATGTATGTCAGATTCTCACAATACATAATATTAATACAGTTTAATTGAGCAAAATTAGTTTTATTCATAAAAGTACAATATTATATTACTATATACTACTATATACAGCATTGTTTAAAATATAAAATTGTAAATGTTTGCACACTACCTTTATTTTGTTTAATTATTATTAGAATAAAATTTTGAATTATGATTACAACAAATTTTGAAGTATATGTAATAAATATAAGTTGCAACTGAGTGATTAATATGTAATACCGCCCATTTTTTGAAAACTTGAATCACATTAATAAAATTGTTGGCAAGAATATCACAGAATAAAGGCGCCACATGAGTAGTGAATATCCCAGTCACATATAATAAGTGTTGACTATGATGAATAAACAGAAACATACAATTGTATGAAAGATTTAAAATTAAGAAATTTAAAATCAAAATAACACCATAGAGGTATTGCCGGAAGGTGTAACTATTTATACAATTATACTTAAATAATAAATATAACTATATAAAGTTATTATTTAATATAAGTATTTTCATACAATTTTTTAGGTTCTGAGCGGTATAAGAATGTAGGAGGTATTGGTTTTACCATAAACCTAGTTACTCATACATTGTTTTACGGTATGACGGCGTTGACTTACAAATTAGTAACATTAATAAATATAATATAACTTTAATTTAAGAATTGATAAAATAATAAAAAATAAAAAATAAAAAACATTGGTAGTACATCGAAAACTTTGGAGCACGCGTAATAATCTCAGATTTATATACACACTATATTCCAATAAGAAATATTGTCATTAATTATCATTATTATCAAACAATCACAGACCTCATCTAGTTAATTGAAATAAAATGTTTTAGAACGAAAATTCATATTTGTAATGTATCATTAATATTTTATACTATGTATCTAAACTTTATATTTATATAAAATGTATAAATTTAATAATAAAATATATTTTAAAATGCCAATATTTCATCATACTCGCTTTATTATATAAAATGTCAAAAAAATAAATAATTTTTAATAAACCAAGTTGTCATAGGAATAATATATTGTTTTTTTAATGAATTAAATCTAAATAAATAAAATATGATAAAGATGGTTTTAGTTACAAAAATATAATTAAATAAAAGTGTATTATTTTAACAAATTAATTCAAAGATCTTGTGTTTGTTTAAGAAACAAAATAATTGAAGAATATTATTTGTTTTTAACTAAATTTAAATGTGTACCATGTGTGTAATTTAAAAGCTGCTCTGAATCTGAATTTTTTAGCTACTTCCTATGTGTATGTATAATGTATATTGTATATATTCAAAATGAACTGTATACTTTTTTTTATACTAATTTTAGATTCTGAACGGAAAGATAAATCTCGTATATTGGTTTTAAACGTTATTAAATGATGAAAATTGTTTGTGTTTAAAAACATTTTTATAGCTATAAAATGCTTCAATTTTCAATTTTTAAAGAGTATTCTAATAGTAAATTACATTAACTTTGTAGTTTGATTATTTAAAAGAAGACATTTTTCAATACTTTTCAAACTATTCGGGAAAAACAGGCATTTTCACGCAAAATTAGTTTTTAACAAAATTAATTTTATTGTTAGCAATAATTCAAAAAAGATTAATCTTAAAAACTTGAAATTTTCAATATTTTCAACAAATATTCATACATATGCATTTTCAACACAAGATATAATTTTAGAAATGAGAGCTAAAAAGCTTGATTTTCGACTTTTTATGGTTAACTTATTTGTGATAACATTTTTGTTTAAGAATTGAAAATTCGTTTAACTTTAAATTATTATAGTTTATACTTATAAATATGAAAATTTAGTACAGGATTTCTCATAAATTTTTCTCATGAAAATTTAAAATAAATGGTCAATATAGCTTGACTTATTTATTTTTATGAAGGTTTAAATTTTAAATATTGACGAAATTAATCAAAATTTTGAATTTTATTGTTAACTATAACAAGGTATAGGCTAACAAATCGTCTTCTCTAAGAATTGTTTTTTTATCGTGACATATCATTGAACTGATATTTACTCGTAATTCAATCGCTACAATGAGCTACTCAATAACCAAGAGAAAATAGTTTTTTCAATTGAAGCAATAACATTTTTTTTTTTTACTATTATTATAAGGGTATTACCAAAGTCATCTATCTACAAAAAAAGTGTATAGCTACAATGTTTTTTTAGAAATACATAAATATCTAAAATTTTCCCATCAATTTTCATTAAAAATATACTGTATATACAAGGTTAACAAAAATAAACATAAATGTACATTTGAAATATTATGTTGTAATTTGTAATCAGTGGCAAAAATAAAGTAATTATAATTACAATTTATAAGTCTTCCAAATATTTTAACAAGCCTTCTCAAATAATACACAAGAGATACATAATATTTTTTTGATACTTTATTTCTTATGACTTTTTCCAACCAAATTAAAACTAAATTTATAAAATTGATTAACTCTTTGGAAATTTCGCTTGTTTTTACTACTGATTGAAACGATTGTTTGTTTTTTGATCTCATATTTACTTAGAATAATAAAATTCTAAGATAAGCTACGCATATCCAAAAGGTATTTACTGTTGCACCCCCATAATAATAGATATACATTACATAGCATTATTATTTTTTAGTATGTATAAAGAATTTATAAATTGCATATTCAATATTTTTATTTAATTATCACATTATAATAATAATTGAAATAAATCTGAAACAAATAAAATCTATTTATTATATAGTTGAACATTTATCATAAAGGTAGTATTTATATTTAATTTATACTTCATAGATTGTAAGTAGGTACTTAATACTTATGAATTATTATTCAATGATCCTGAAAATGTATATCCTAAACTAAATAAAACACATTTTAACAACACTGGAGATACTACTAAAGAAGCTAAGCACCCCGAGGCATCATATTTATATTTGCACTTATTGGAGAGAAGTACAGTATCTGTTAGCTAAAGTATTCATATATACCAAAACCGAACTATTGTTTAATAAAATCTCTATATAAATGAGGTGTTACTACGCTGTTGATAACCAAAATCTTAAATATACATGAAATTTGTAACAATAATTATATTTAAAACAAAAATAAAATAAAAACCTATATCCAAATAATAATATCCTTACTTATAACCGAAACTCGTTACGTATAAAAATCTTATCGATTACAATCCCTATTTACATTTTTAGCCCTATACATAATTATAATAGATTGATAATCTACACAAATATTCTAAATTTCTGATGATTTCTATTCTAGATTTACAAGTAGAAAATTATTATCCAATATATAACATAAATACAATTAAGTACAAAAATGCAGTACACTAAAAGGTTCAAATCCTATTAAAAATAATAACCTCAATTCGAACAGATATTATAAACAAAATATTTTAGTTTCCTTTTTATATTTTATTGAACCGTAAATATATGGACTTATAAAGTCATAAAATATACTGTACATTAAACATGCATATTTAAAATTTAATAAAAAATTAAAATAATATATATTAATTCACTATACCATTGTTTTGTGATGCTACAACTTTATATATTTTTAATATTGTTATGCATTAATGTCTTATATCAGTTGCCATATTTGAGACGCTTTTAATATTGGCGGTAGCCGTTAGCTAGTAAAGTTTGCTTCTGCAACTGAAATCTAAATTGAAACAACAAATATTCTAATAGATAAATGACAACGTATAAAGATTCTGTCATTACTCATTCGTGTAATATTAAATACACATAAGACAAAACGTGCATATTGGTTTTTTTGAGTTTAGTTTTAAAACAAAATTTTTGATTCATTAAAATGTATTATATTATTAAAAATATATTTGGATAATAGATTACTTTTATTGTCTTATAATTCTCGTCGCATCGAATACTATTTTTTAATCCAATAAATTAATTTATAATGTATACAGTATACTTGCCTACCTATTTATTTAATACACAAATAGATACAAAATACAGAGCTACGTGGGTGTACGCTGTGACTTGTAAGCTGCGATTATCCGATAGAGTTATGGATTCAAACAGAACGTATAACAGATAAACCTAGTAGCGTTACATAAATACAAAAACATGAGTCAGTCAGATTGGATGATCATGTGCATTTTGTTTTTTATATTATTCGGAAGGAAACCGCGAGTTTTGCTTATACATACTCGATGAACGGAGCATGCGAATAACGGTGGGAATGGAGCTTACGGGGTCAACTTTGGTAAACAAGAACATGTCATGCGGAAAATATGCAAACAATTCGGGGTCGGACGAGGCCGCACGGACAAACGGGGGAGAACGCGGCGCTCTATTTTTGTCGACACATTCTTTGCGGCCTCGCGGCGTCGGCGGCAATAGAGGTAGCGGCCGTGTGAATCGCGCCAAAAATACGAAACACCTATTGCACCGCCACCGCACCGTCTGTGGATTCCGCGTATATACAGATATACCATACACATTGCATTCGTATTATATAGTGTTGAACGCCGCCGCGCAATATTAAAGCTCCCGAGACCTCATCTGCTCACGTCGCGGCTCTCCCCCGCGCGACGAATTCCATTCACGGCGATCGTCACGAAACATTCCTTTCCAAAATCCAGTAACCTAAATAGTTATACAATCTTTATATAAATATACAAGACATTTTAACCGCGTTATGATCTCCGTGATGTTGAGACGTTTGGAATTTAACGCGACTACACCTATATAAAAAAAAACTGCACTAATGACGCTTGCGCCAAGCAATATTTTATAATAATTATAATCATATTTAATAAACACAGGACTTACAGAGCTTATTCCGACTATGTGGATCACAGATGTCATAATAATGATCATATTCAAACATTGTATTGTCTTAGCCAAAGATAATTTCGTTTATTTTTTAGATAGATTTTAAAATTTATTTCTCGGAATTATGAAACGTCAACCCAAAAAAAACAATGAAAAACAATATAGTAAAAATAACAACTCTGGGCGTTACGAATTTACATATTGTTGTATTATTATAAGTTATTTTGAAACAGACATATTTGAAAATATGATAGACGGTTGGACTGAGTTCCAATACCAAAATTAAAAATAAATTTAATAGTATATTCGATCGTACTGTTATTTAATATATTTGTATATTCAAACTAAAATTAATTTTAAAACAACGAAACTGCTTGTAATATAAGTTATTGTTGAAACCTTGAAAATTTACATACAATTACTTTATTGCTGTTTCTCATGGGTTTATTAGTTATTACGTCTCACATGTATACTTTACAGGCGCAATTCAACTTGTTCTCGACTTTAAAAATTCAAATCCTAAATTTTGTTGAATGCAAATAAATAGGTACCAATATTGGTGCCTCTTATCATTTAAAAAAATTCAAAGAATAGTAAAAATATTATAACGATATAACTATAAGACAAATATAATGTCGCTTTTATCGTTCATCATTAGATGCCTTCATTACTTAAATACAGTAGTTAATGTTGAAATTTGGAATTAATTATACAAAATAAATCGTAAAATTGTATACTGTAAAAATAATGAATTAAAATGAAATAAAATGTATTACATTTTTGTGCTGTATCATAATATACTTGGAAGCCAGAATACACAGAAACTGTACTCAAAATTTAAAATAAAAATATTTAACCCTCCACAATATGCATAACAATAACACGCAACGGAAATGTTGCAATACCTATTTTACTTCCTAGTTCCTCTACGAACACCACATGACAGGGTCAAAGTTATCGGTGCAGGACGCAGGTCCATGTAATAATAGTAGTAATAATAATATGATAATGAATTACGATATAACATGTACATTAAGTGAACGTAACAGTGGTGACTGTTGGTTACAACTTACAAGTCGCCAGTCGGTCGAATAACAAAAACAAAGATCTAAAATAACAATAATAATTATTATTATTATTACAAGAAGAACATCAACAACCTGGGCGGCGCATTGGTCCGCTCGAGCGCGCGGCGGTCGTCGACCACTGCACGGCGTCGCGCGCGACGTACCGAAGGAGTGTGTTATAAAAGCTCGTGTCCATCCGCATTCTCGAAACAGCCGACTGCTGATATATCATGGCTAGCACCGCAATACTACCGAGCAGGTATTCTTCGCGATCCGCGGATTTGCCGCACGACCGACGCAATAACAGGGTCGCTGTCAATGGTGGGTCCACCATCGTTCTTGATAGATCAGACTTGTGAGTACTTAATAATATTATGATGACAAATTATACCGAGAAATGTTTCCCGCCAAAAAATATAAATATTTATTTAAAAAATTAAAAAAAAAACCTAATTTATTTACCCAAATATTTTTTAGATTTTTAGATTATCAAATCGAATGATATTATAAATTAATTATATGTTTTTACCTACACAGATTTAGCGTGTCGCCTATTTGTCCCGGACTGGCTCTCTGTGGCGCTCTGTCCATTTACACGGATAAAGAAACGGTAGCCGCGCTTCGGCCAACGTGTCTGATCAATTGTGCCGGCGAGCTTCCCGACACGCCGCTACCGGATACCGTGCACAGGTACCATAAGGTACCAGTGACGGACACCGCAGTTACCGACCTCGGACCACACATGGACACGGTTACGGATCTCATACACCAGGTATATACCTATTATATTACGAGGCACTTTGATACAAGTTGTTACTTAACAGATATTCATATCGATGATGCTATTTTCAACTGTTCAGACCGAAACACCACCTGAAACCAATCAATATTCGTTTTCTATAAACCTACGTTAAGTCAATAGTTTTAATTTTTATAGGGAAGTACCTAGGTTATAACTTATATTTATATATGTACAGTATTAATAAATGTAAAATAAAATTATTTATCGCACGTTATAATACATACAAATACCTATACAATAGTTAATACGTTATAGATAATGAATAATATTTATTATATCAAAAAAGCTTAAAATTATTATAGGATTGTTTTATACACATTTTTATTAGCTAGGTACATACATATATTTTTCAAGTTTATGGGAACGAAAAATTTCTTATAAAAAAATATTTGATTATGTACAAATCTAAAAATAGAATATAAACATTTGGAAATATGAATGCCGAATGGGGTTCCAGCCCGACGTCATATTAATAAGAGTATATTAATGTACTGATGAATAAACATTTTTTAGTGCTATACTACGACATCCAATTATCCAAGCGACTAAGTCATGTGTCAAAAATCTTGACATAAAATAAGATTGTGAATTTGTTAACTTTCAATTTAATGGAAAAAAATTTATTGTTTTGATAATAACATTCTACTATATTATTAAAATAAGTTGACAATATTTCAACAACGTAAATTTTATAAGCATTATAATACTTTATGTCTTTATACGATTTATATGATCAAGAAAATGTATTTATTTCAAAAATGAAGTTCATCTAATTTTCAAAAAGGAATAAACATTATTTTTATTTGACACTTGATTATACCTAGTATAATTTATTAATATAAAATAACACGGGTACATAAAATTTAATACTATTTATTGTTTCTATCTAAATAATAAACTGTCAATAAATACTTAAATTATTTTTATGTAAAAAGATATTGGACAAAATAACAAACTAAAACTATAATTAATTTTATAAGTTAGTATTTTAGAAACGTTATATCAATTATCATAAGGCAAAATGTTATCTAACTATGAGTTATCATATTTATACAAATATTTATTCAAACACTGAAACAGGTGTTTAATTAAAATGTTATGTAAATTATCAAAATTACCCAAACCGTTATATACATTATACATAAACAAAAATATGTACACATATGTGATACATTTGCGAGTATTGAATATAGGCCAGGAAATACGTAGGATTAATCGCTTGGCGCCCATCCCGGTATGCAATTCCTTTGGTCCGTCAAACGAGCATGAAAGAAAACGCACTGAAAACCGGAAAATAAGTTGTTGTCAGATAAAAACAAAAATGGCTGTCAACGGTATTTTGAAAAGTTTCTGCCAGAAACTGTAAAAAAATGAAAGTTAAGAGATAGATATTTATAGGACTGTGATTTGTAAAAAACAAACATTGGGTGTATTTATAAATTTCCTTGAAATAATGGACAGGTAATACTCGTATGTCGGCTTAATTTAAAAGTAAACAACATATTACAGATAAATGTATAATAATATGATTTTAAAGCTGTAATCGTGAGAATCAAAAGATTCTATTTCCGTTTTTACTTATTTGACAGACCACGAGATGTCTAAAATACAAAACTATTTTAAAATATTATACTCTTTAATTCCAACAGTTATAATGTACAATATTAAAAAAATATTTTTAATGCCAAAATTATGAAAAACATGAATAATATTACCTATATTAATAATTTATTAACAATACATCCTATGTGTTTTAATTTGTTGTAGGAATATATTTCTGGAGGTACAACAATAATACATTGTGCAGCTGGAGTGAGTAGATCAGCTGCTTTTTGCATTGCATACTTGATCAAATATCGTGGTATGACCATGAATAATGCATATCGTCACGTATCTAAATGCAGACCTTGTATAAATCCAAATACAGGATTTATTAACCAACTAATAGAATTTGAAAGAAAATATAGAGAGGAATAACAGTGTATAAAATAACGTTTATAATACACAAAAATCATTCCAAAAAAATAATTATTGTATTGTATATAACTAATATTGTAAGCTTTTTAAATGTTTTAATTCCTATAGAATGATAATTTTCGTTTAAGATTTTTAAATTGCAAATGTTATGATTCTATGATTGTATAATTTGTATAATATATTTTATCCTTAAAATGTTATTTGTAATAAATAATAATATAAATATATAAAATTAAAATAATCTAGGATACAAATACAATTTTCATGTGTAACTACCTATACCTATGACTTGTATTACTTTCATACTTAGTTGTATGCTGCACATAAATAACACATTTACGTACCTAACACTAAAACACTAGTAGTTAATTTCTATATATTTTAAAATAAATACTATTCGTTTGATTGGTTTATCAAACCCTAAATCGAATATCAAATATAATCGTTTCCTTTATATAATCATACCTCAGAAGTTACTATATGTATAAATATACAAATATTATTTATAAATTATAATAATTAATAAATCATAGCATTCAAAATAACAAATCTGAAGGAGTGACAGGAGTGTTCAACACTTACACAATTTTTCAACATATTTTACTCTACATGTAACATTTGTAAGAACTTAATTTTCCTTTTAGAATATTATTCTATTGCATTGCCCAAATGACATGAAAACTCATTTTTTTACATAATCAAACAATATAATATGAAATATGAACCTTGCTATGCTCAGAACCTAGTTTTATTATTTTAAATTTGTTAATTTACAATCAATCTATATAAAATGAATATAATGCGTGCAATAAGTGTGATGTGAATTAAAATATTCAGGCATTTAACATTAACATTAAATACCTTTTTAGTTTCTTCTATACCCATTACCCATCAAGTTCTCTTTCCATTTAGGACTAACTGCGATAACGAATAGTGGAAATATTTTCTCTGCAGTGCTTCATTAGATCGTCTAACATCTACTCTTAATATGAGTATGGCTAAACACTTAATTCTCTAATAAACCTTAAAATATTCATACATTTATGCCCTTAAAAATTATCACATATGCTCTAAAAAAATGCAAAGCTGCTATTATATGTTCTAAAAAATATTTTATTTTTCATTAAAAACTAAAAATTACGAATTTATTTAATATTAAATAAAGCATTTTTAATTTAATTTTCACAGTAAAAAGTGTACCTAATTAAGAATATTTTACCAACTGACGAAAATACATACGATATCAACAGACGAATTGACATCAACTGACCGTATTCGGCGTATTTTTTATCAACGGATTTCATGCTTTTCACAACACAAATTGGGAAAACACACAATAAATAGATTATTTAATTATTTTAATCAACTTTTTTCAATCCCTAGAAAATTAATATTAAATATTGTACAGTGGTACGTATAAAATATTATTTTCTGTGTCACATATTTTTTTAAATTTTGTTTTTGATGAAATAAGTAAAATATGTACTTAAAATGCAAATACAACAATATATGCACTTAAAAGGAAAAAAAAGCTGAATATACAAAATAAAAATGATTGATTTAAACTTCTAGCACTATGAAACAAATGTCTACATTACTTAACTATGTTTTGAATGATAATTGAAAAACATGTTAACTCCTTTAAGCTTTCTATAAATATGTGTAGATTATGTAGGTATACATCATAATATATACTAGTGATAGGCACAGCTTAGTGTTGGAAAATTAGAAATACTCAGATACACCTACTAATAAATGGTTAAATTAACTAAAGAATAAATTAAAAATTATGTAGTGGTGTTAAAGTAATCAAAATAATATGTTTAATAGAATACAAAAATTTAACCTGCTAAGTGCATAAATTAATAAAACATTTTGTCATTATTATTATTATTTTTAATTTTTGAGTAATAAATGTTTTCTTCTTGATTATAAGCTAAATAATACCGCCTCATTAATATAATATAGTAACATCATATAATGCATCATTTAAAAACAATTATACTTTCAGCATGCCGTAAATCGGTACAGTATTTTTCTAATTAATTTTTAATTAAAGAACAATTGATATTAATCGTAGGTACGAAAATATTACATTTAGTTGTAAGTAAGTAAATTAATTGTGTGCAATATTGAGATTCGTAAAGCAAATAACAAAATAATAAGTATATACCATGGCTAAACTTTAAATTTAAATAAATGTTTACATTTTGGATAGTTAGTTTGAAGTTGAACGCCACCGTTTTCTTTTTGGCTAGTACCTACTATATAGAACGGATAAAAAAATTATTACGCAAGGTTTTTTTCCACTATATATTATTAACATAATCAATCAGAACGAAATTCACTAACAAAATTACTTTGAAAGATTAAAAATATGTACAAATTTAGGTAAAATATACTGTTCGAATATGAAGTGTTATTTTATATTCGTCTTTCATTTTAGTTTCAGTACATTTTGGCAATAGTTATGTAGTTTGGGCGTTGTGAATGGTATTTTAGTGACGGAAAATAACATTTTATTACGTCACTGTTGCACGCATATTTTTTTTTCATGTCTAATCAAATGAATGACGTTTAATACTATACCTATACGTTTAAGGCTCGGTACATTTACCCCATTTGTCATCCATAACGTAAAATTAAATATAACACGGTATTATTTTCTTTATATTAATAATTTACTTAACATTAAAATCAACTGCGAGTGAGATAATAGGTAATAATAGTCAACAGATTATGACAATGTTCCGTCAAAAAATGTTCATTACCTACGCCAACAACGTATCATACTAATGTATTTTTAGAGAAATAACATTTATATGTATAAAACATCTTAGTAAAAACTTTATTTAAATTTAAAATAACTATCTATTATAACCTTTATTTAATGGAATGAAAAATTCAGTTTTAATAATGAAATATAAGTAAAAAATAACAGTTATTGAATCATTATAATATAAAAATAAATATTGTCAATTAAAAAAACAATTGTAGCAATATTGAAAATTGAATTACATATATATATATATGTTTATCTTATTAACTAAATACATTATTATAGTATACTCTGATTACGATTAAAAGGTTTTTCCATATGATGATCGTAATCGGATTAATACAAAGATTATCTGTATAATGTTAATTTCATCGATACGACGGAGTGTCAGTTGTCGTCCGTCTTTTTAGCGAATAAAGTGATAAAAATATATAACTCAGCGATTTATTTTTCTACACTCGTACCTACACCAAATACACGTATCATCCGCTAAGTGCCATCCACTTGGGCACAACCCGGCCTTACTAAACGATAATATAATTTTGTCCAGTAAGGTCAGTCTTTACAGTTCAGGTGTGGGGTTCCGTGTGTGTATGTGTGTATGAGTATTGGATGTCGTACGAGGTTGGTGACTGGTTTGTTAACGCGACTTTTTTTTTTTACGTTTTGTTGTTGTACGCAACGTAAAAAAAAAGTGCGTTTTATTTTGGTGAGACAGTAACGTGGCATTGTGTTGTTGCCGTACGCGAATTTTTTTTTTTGCAAACGAAACGCTCGTGTTGGTATTTCCGTAGAACACTTAGCTGTTTCGGGCTAGGTTATTTATAACTGGGGCTGGTCGATATTATAATCGTCTTAGATCGACGAAAAATCGCAAATATACGTGACATGTGGCTCGTTGGAGTGAAGTTACAGTGTACCAGTCAATTTTTATATATTATATAACCACAACAGGGCTGGAGTATTGCGTGGCAATGGCTGAAGGTGGTGAAAATGTTGTTGATGGCGGTACCGAGATAGTAACACAACACCGTCGCTGGTTAGGCGATATGTCGGGCGCTTTGCCGGAATTTAACTCGATAAACTCGACTATGGCGATTGATAAGTGGATCGATAAAATTGAAGAATTTGCTATACTTTATAATTGGGACAATGTGGCTGTACAACACTTTGCGTTAGCAAAACTTACTGGTATGGCCAAGATTTGGCGGTACAGTTTACCCCGAGCCGATCGAACTTGGTTCGATTGGGTAAAACTGTTAAAAGATAATTTTCCGTCAACTACGGTAGAAGACGTGATACAACTAAAATTAGATGCACAAAACTTTTCTCGGAAAAATGGGCAGAACATAATCGAATATTTTTATGAAAAAATCGCAAAATGTAACCGTGCAAATATGAGTGACGCCGAAATTATACAGTGGGTAACTAGTTCGCGGATTGGGAAATGATCGATATCGGGACTATCTTGGTCCTCTTATTAAATACCAACGACCGACTGAGTTATTACCACATTTAATTGCCGCAAGCGAATATATACGAGACAAAAACGAATATCCTAATACAAAATCGGATAAGAATTTAATTAAACACGTGAATAGTAAAAATAACAGTCATTTGTCAAATAATCATATTACGACGAAATCGACGGTTATTTGTTTTCGATGTCGAGATACTGGAAATTTATCAAAAAATTGTACAAAAAAATTAACTATAGTGTGTTATTGTTGTTAAAAACCGGGACACAAGGCAAATGAATGTCACAGTAAATTGAACGGACACGGAAGTGGAACGGCTAGTGATAAAGAAAATCCACAGAGTCAAGCAGTATTATAACTTGGGACTTCGGTAGTGCAAAACAAATATTTCAAAGACGCGATTATAAATGGTGTTTGCGTACGTGCCTATGTCGATATGGATGCATCGTGTATAGCCATGAAAAAAAGTGAAGTCGACCGTTTAAAAGTTAAATATGATGAAAATATTCACGATGAATTTATAGGCTATGGTTTTGGACGAGTAAAGGCGCTAGGCCGTTTTGAAACAAATATCAGTATCGATGGCGTTAGTGCGTGTGTGTTGATTAACGTCGCACCCGACGACGTTCAAGAAATTGCGTTACTTGTGGGACACCCGTTTACAGAACAACCACATATAATGATCACCAGCACAGCGGGAAAATTAAAGGTTGAGGAAATTATACCGATTAGTGCTGAAAATCAAATTACTAAAACACCGATGTGGGCAAATGACGCGGTAGTGATCCCC